GGCATTCTTCACCTCCCCAATGCGCGTCCTTTGCTGTGACCTCGGATTCAAACTCAACCAATTAGACTCTCTTATTTGCTCACTTTACATAATTCCACACACAACGCATCAATTAATGCAGGGCTGTAATTACTCCCCACCAATTAGAATTCAGAAGATCAGTGGGCAGACCCATATAAATATAGGGGCCCCTAGTGAGTAGCCTTCACTAGTCAACTGTGTGTATTTGAGTGATCGTGAAGAGCATGAGTTGGTCAGATTCAGAAGAAAAGGTGCGATTTGGTGCAATGGTGAAGGAGAGGTCGAAGAACAAGATGCTTGAGTGTATGGAGGAGAAGGACTATGAGGGATTTCAGTATGCGAAGAAACACTACGAGCATGCCAATCAGTACTTGGATAACCTCTTCACTTCGGAGTTCAACAAGGTGGATGCCTGGCAAACAAACGATGATAGCTCCAACGACAGCAGCTAACACCAATGCAGTACTCTCTGTGTGCATGTGTGCTCTTGTGTCTGTCAGCATTTCATCAAATAAATCTTTGGCCTCGCAATAAAACAAACTATCACTTCATTTCCCTGTATTCAAGTTGAAATTAGAAGTGTTAGCTGTTTAAAATTGTGCATTTGATAAGCACCCTTCCAATGGGCTCAGAGAATGGTGATCCGATCACAGAAATGCTAAGAAAGTAGAGGAGGCGGAGAGAAAATGGAGACATCTAGAACTCCAATCTGATCTACTTTTCCAGGAATGGGGACACATTTATCCTCATTTGGGAATATTTTGCAAGTCATTTGGAGTTGACCGAATTAAAAAATATCAGCTCATAGTGTTAAATTCTGGTATAAATTAATGACTGCAGTGGTAAGATCGCAAATTATTTCATATTGCTTGGTGATTGCTTTATGAATTGAGTAATTAAACCCGTTAAATTTCCTTAATTGCTTGTTAAAATCATGTTACTTTCGCATATTTTTAATAGCCATAATCCAAAAGAAGGATTCACATTTCGAATAATAATCTGAAGGAACTTCGAATTTAACCTGTTGATGCGTGTATAATGGGAAACTTAACTTCTTTTTTGACTAATGGTGATGTAGACAAATAATTTTATTGAAATTGGCCTTGTCTGGGTAAACAATAGTTTACATATGTCGTTTTGGCAGATTTGAGGTATTTAAATAGAAACAAAGATATCAAATTCGGTCAAAGATTTATGAGTGTCAAAGCGAAAAATCTACATTTACAGAATCATTAATTATTTTCGCTTGGAAAATCAAATAGCTACTTTTATTGTCTTTTCATTATTAGTGAAGTAGCAATTAATTTGTAAATTATTTAATTTAGGCAATTCTCTCATTCATTATTCATCTTCTTGAACATTCAATTATGCATTGTTTATTAAGAGTTAAATTTGCTTCATTGTTAATCGACTAAAAGATTCAAGCAAATATACGACCTTGAAAATTTAGAAAATACAGTTGATATAACATTTACCGAGAGTAAAGTGGGTTATAAAAGGTGAAAGTTTTGACTTTGGAATTAATGATATTTTTGCATTTTAAGTTACAAATAACTCAGCACAATCCACAAGATCCGGAGTATTTGAGTCTTTGGAAGCATTCCGATCAGTTAAATCTCATTCATGAACGTGAAAATGTATGCGGGATGCAGATTATGGTTCTCAAGACAGATTGTTTTGTTTATTCTGCACCATCGAAGTTTCTCATTTCAAGAACAGAGATGTATTGGTCTGGTATTTAAGGGAAGAATATAACCTGAATTATTGGCTTTCGAAGGATTGGACTAGATACTTCAATTTACTGAACGATTTATTGACCTAATGCACGATTTGTTATCAGTTCATTTTTACTGATGGTAGGGCATTGACAATGTAACTAACGTATTAACAAAATTATTGTTTATTTAACAAGAAAATATCACACTCGAGCTACATCTGAAATAAAGGTACTTGGAGAAGTTGACGTGGGGATAGTGGAACGAGGCATTGAAATCATGACACCAAAAAGATGTTGCCGGACTTTGTCCAATCTGAGTTGGTACCACCTCTTCACCTTCTAGTATTCAAAAGTCCTTTTAATTATATGTCGCTATCCACTTCCTCAGTGATTTCGAGGGCACTAAGTTGACGATGTCAAGAAATTATTGATCGGTTTGCCTAATTAATAAGTAAAAGAGACGATTCGAGATTATTCCAATTTATTAATAGGTCGAAAGTTAAAATAACAAACATGTTTTTGGAGAAATTGTAACAATTCATATCAATTGAAATGTGTTCGGTGCCATGTACGAAATAAGGACATAATGAAGACAGCCAATATTTTGCAGATTAGGCTATGAATAATCTCGTGCTATGTTGATTGAAATTCAATAATTTGACAATAAAGATTGGGTTGAATTTCTCTGTCAAACTTGATTTCGTATGTTACTTTCTCATATTTGTTAATAACTATAATCCAATAGAAGGATTCCCATTTTGAATATTAATCTGAAGGAACTGCGAATGTAACCTGTTGATGCATGTATAATGGGAAACTTTACTTCCTTTTTGACTAATGGTGATGTAGACAAACAATTTTATCGAAACTGCTCTTGCATGAATGAACAGTAGTTTACATACGTCTTTTTAACAGATTTAAGGTATTTAAATAGAAACAAAGATATGAATTTTTGGTGACGATTTTTGAGTGTCAAAACAAAAATCTACTTTTGTAGTAACATTGCTCATTTTCGTTTGGAGAACCAAATAACTATTTCATATTTCCCTTTCATTATTAAGAAGTAGCAATTGATTTAAAAATTGTTTATTTGAGTCAATATGCCAATTCAGTCATTCATTATTCATCTTCTCAAATTTCAATTATTCATTGTTTAAAAAAGGGGAAATTTGCTTAATCGTTTATTGATTAAAAGATTCACGCAAGGATACGATCTTGACAAGTATAATTTCTATCATTACATCTTCAATGTTATTTAGCACAGAGAGACTGCAAAGGTCTGAGGAATCGAGTTTTCATCAAAAGAATGACTCGATCCGCATCTTATTTCGTGCAACTATCAGAGTAGGA